ACAGAAAGTGATTATTTTAACAGAAAGTGATTTGGACTTTGGACTCACATTGAAGAACAATGTTTTTTAACACAGTCTCCAAAATACGCATTTTCATGAAACGTATATTTGTAATTATGCTATTATAAAAAGGCGCTCAGTATTTCTTGGAGACCGTCAAATACCTCTCTGTTAGGGATTACTCTGTACTGGCAGTGCTGCAGTTCCAGCAAGTAAGAACTAAAGCTGAACTGCATTACAGTTATTCAAACTATGAAGTACCTCTTTAGCACTTACTGGGTGAAATTCTGCTTTCAATTTTAACAGAATAAAACCAGTAAACTGACTGATGTGAAATACCCCCAGCTACATCTGGGCAGCTACCTTTTCAGTTGGTCTGAATGAGATTTCGGGCTAAACACACAGTGCCCTACAGAACTGCCCTACAAATCCCTTGTAAGGAAAGGGGCTGTTTCTGTCAGAACTCCACTCTAACAAATACAAAGAGCAAGAGCCCCTGCTCTTGCTCGGGGCTTAGAAGTTGCTTCAGAGTAACATGCTACTGAGACCCAAACAGTCCATCACAATTATTCTTGTGCATGTTCAGGCTGCAGCAAATATTAAACAGTTCAAGTTGAGTTAGCTTGCACTGAAAAAAGTTAAACTGACTTGAAATACTCAGTATTTGCTATAGGCTAAGGCTGCATGCATAGAGAGTTACAGTTGACTTCTGGTGCATGGTAACTTGTTATTCTGCAAAAACCTGTTTACTAATGGGAGTTTTAACCCAGTAAGAATTCTGTCCTTTAGCAACACTGAGAAGATCTTTTTGTTTTTTAAGTAACATCTGATTTTGTTTATCCAGACCATGCACACTGAAATCAGCAGAACCCTATGAGGATCTCATCCCTGAAATGAAAGTGAATTCTCGCACTGACTTAAAAAGAATGAGGACCCCAATTTGAACAAGGCAAACAAGATTTAGCACATAGTCTAAAGCAAGGGAGTAAAACCAAAGAGGGAAGGAAGAATTAAATATAATAAAAACACGTACAGGAATCTCTCAATACTCTTTTCTGTTAAAATCCAATAAATTAGGCAGAAAATGGACAATTAATATGGAAAATTATTAAGTGATATGTAGATTTTCAAGTTGCTTTTACAAAAGCAGAGCTATTAAAAAGCTACCGATAGAGCCCAGTTCTGCATGGCATACACATTCCCAGTTTTCCTAGATCATTCCTGAAAGATGGGAATGTGATTTTCTTGTAAAATGTGAAGAAAATAAAAAGCTTAACTCTGGGCAGACTGAGCATTTGGCTTTGGATCCAGATCCTGCAGAGCAGGTGTTGCTGTTGTAACGGAAAGGGCAATCGGAGTTCTCACTTGGAAACACAGTTAACCTGGAAAGCCAGTTTCAAGATTTCCTCTGTAAGTTTTGATGCTTTTCAGGTCACATCAACAGTAACATTTTGGTTTTGTTTTTAAAGTACAGGGGTTGCATATACGCTCATTACACCAGCCTTGGCTCTTTAGTTCTTAATACAATTAAACAAAAACAATTCAGATAGTGTAACACTAAATTCCACATTTATGTTCATCTTCCAGAACATATTTAGGAAAATTCATAATTAGAAAATGATAATGTTTTCTCCAGGACCCAGTTCCCACAGACATAAACAAGAAAAATTACTGGAAAACCTGTAACCATTTTGCCTGCTGTGCTCTGCCAGCTCTCTCTAGGCAAATGGAATGAACTAAGTTTACATAGGAAAATCTGTGATTTCCTTAGTCTGCAACAGGTATAATTTTAAGAAACTTCATGCATTAATATCATACCTATAATTAGATGCTTCAGCTGCAACGATATGAAGCATTTAAACTTTAAGCCTGATTTTGCAGTGTTACAGTCATGAGGATTTCTAATATTGAGTTCACTAGAGACAACAACAAATTATATACAATTTTTCTGAAGATTTCTTTGCTCACATTGGCGGTCTTTTCAATCTTAAGACAATTTCTCAGAAAATATTCTGAAAAATTAATGATAGGCCACAAATCTTTAATTAGATCATATTTTCTGTTCTGTAAGAAAAACATAAACAAATCTAGAATTAACTGTATGACAAATTAATGGGAAGTATATGAATGTGAACAGGGTTCTGAAGAAACATATTATATCTGGTTAACATACAAAGAAAGAAAAAGAAACAGAATAATTAATGTCTAACTAAGCTTGCCTATATGCTGAGGTAACCTTAAATATCTTTGGTTTTCTTCATTTGCTGATAAAAAGTACTTAACACAAAATATGAACTGACAAATAGAATTCTGGATGTACTGTTCTTTAATAAATTGAATGTTTGATCTCTCTGACTATTGAAGGTAGAGCATCTATTAGACTGATTTCTCTCAAATTATTCACAGGTGAAACTACAAAGTGTGTCTTTGGCATGAAAAAGTTTAGGATTTAGAACATTTACCTGTAATGAAGGCAAAAAAAAAAAATCAATCAATTCAATCAATCAAGAAATCAGTTTATCAGTACTTACAGCAAACAAGTCTTTGGAGAAGCAAATAGTTACCATCTGCATATCAGCTCTTTCTGAATGAAGCTAATAAAAGAGGCTAATCTGAAAGATGAAGTGTGAAACTTCATGCTACAGTTACACAGTCTTAATCTAGTTTCAATTAATTCACACTTTACCTAACTAGAAACAGTACTCTGCTGTACACTAAATATTTTGCGTGATGAGACCAAAAATAAATCTTTGGTGAAAAGGTTTTCTTTTTCTTCAGCAAGTAGATAAAAACTGTTCAAAAATATTTTATTTAATACTGTAATGTTGATCAACTACATGCTGAAGAAAAAAATTACACTTGGAAGTCTTTGGAGATATCTGCTGGTATTATTATTATAACTTTCTTTAAAGGCTCTTGCAACAACAAGGTAGTTAAAAATTGTAGAAGCATACAACTCATCTATGCAATCAACTACTACAATCAATAGAAGCCCTATTGTTTTTGGTTAGTAACTACTTATACAATAAAACGTATTCAGCTTTTCAAACCTATAGTTTTTAACTAGTTCAATCATTTTTGGAAAATATGCAGCTTTCTTCTCTTCTACAGAAAATTCTTTGGTACAAGATTATTTTTAAAGCCTCCGAATCAACACTAGTATGAAAAGGTGGACGTGGACTGTCTGGTTTAGAACTAGCAAACAGTTACAAGCTGGAGATCTACAGTGACTACAGGCCGATTCATCAAAATAAAACAGACAAAACAGTAGGGCTTATTGATGACTTCTGACCATCTTTTGATACTTAAGGAACAATACAGAAGTCAGCCTGCCTACCTTAAGGGTGACATCTTGGCCCCCGTTAAGTCAGCGGGAGTTCTGACGGACTTAAACAGAGCCAGGAGTTCCTATGGTGCCTTCGTCACAACATCACACTTTAAACTTTCTAAGTAAAAA